AAAAAAGTTAAAATTATTTTGCTATATGAAGCCCTTAATCCATCTGAATTTGATTTTTTATAAAGCAGAAGATCAGTGTTGCCAATAGATGATCTCATAATTTTTTGAATCATTTATCATTTTCTCCATTGATCTGTGATGCCAGATCATGTTCATCGGTTCATCATGCCATCAATTGTTCACAGTTGTTGAGTCTTATCCCAGCATCTTTCCTCTTCTATTGATCTATTTCTACAACACCATTGTGATGTCTTTATTATTACTGATTTTTAATAACTCTTACTATCTGGTAAGATAAGTCGATCTAATTCTTCTCCAAGAGTATCTCAGCTACTCTCAGGCCTTTGCACCTCCATATAATTTAGGGCCATGTTTTTAAGCTCTATTACAATTTCTGTAAGGATTGTGATTGAAGTTTTATCGAATTTATGTATCTATTTGGGGATTGCTGGCATCTTTATTAAATTGTCTTCCTATTTGTGGACTTGGAAAGTTGTTACATTTAGGGAGACCTCCTTTCCTGTTTTTCAATATTTCTTTTTTTGCTCCTAGATACCATGCTTTACATGGGCTGAATCATTTAATATACAGCACAGAAGCCAGCACAATACTTTGAAACAGTGCTTTCTAACCTCGCTATAATTTTGTCTAAGAGACTTTCTCTATGCTCTGTTGCTGATCTCAGAAATGAGTAGGAGAAGGCAGCAGAAAAGAGAATCTTCAAGGCTCAACTAAGTCCCCAAAGTCAACCGATACACATGTTGGCAAGGAAGCAGAACAACAAGAACAGAATTGGGAAGACCATTTAGGAAAACAAATTGGTATTATATAAAATTGTTGGGTTTTGCTGACTATAAACCAGAAATTCTATTCTGATATTTATTTATTTATTTTTTTATAGGAGAGAGGGGAAAAAGAAAAAGAGACACAGAGAAGTATTTTTGATAGGGCCTGACCATGGACAAATATTTGTATATTTATAAAACAACTATTCCATAGTGAAAATCAATAAACTATAGCTACAAATGTCAACATATGTGCATTGGAAAACACTCTGTTGGGTGCAAAAAGGCAAGTCATGCATAAAAGCTATATGACACTATTCAAGGTATATATAAGTTAAAATGGGCAAAATAGCTTGTTAGGGGCCCAGAAGATGGCATAATGATTACGTCATTGGACTCCCACATAATTGACTGCAATTTGAGTCCTAGACCCATCAGCTTAAACTCACATCAGGCACATATGCATGCATGCCTAACTAAAATCCAGAGATGAGAGGATGGAGGAAAAGGGATTGCAGCATGGCCATGCTCCCTGGAGGGTGATTTCTCACTTTTTGTCTGTCTCTTTCCAGTGAGTGCATGCACTCTATAGCAAAAATCTCTCTCAAAACAAAACAAAATTGTTAAATATTTTTATTATCACACTGGATTTGGCAAGTTCTTCTCCAAAGTCTTAAAAATTCCTGAGCAGGTAGCAAGAGTAATGTAATGCTTCCAACGTGGAATCTAAGGTAGAGGGTATTTTCCCTACCAGAGTCATGTTTGAAGACCTCCCAACTTTATTGCACTCTTGTTCAATACTGACCATATTTATTCAGGGTCTATCCACAATTCACAGAGAACAGCAGACTTCATAAGTATACTGTTCAATGTTTTAACCTTGTCTTGATCATAGATTCCTTTAAGACTACAATAAAGTTCATTGTTATAGACTTCAAATTTGTACAGTTATGAAACTAGTCCTAAAAATGGTCCTAAACTTTGAAAAGCAGCAGCTCTGAAGCATCTTGAAATGGAATTGAAAAACATGACATATAATTAACATTTTTGCCTTTTACATGTGTGTGTTCTCTTAAAACATCTAGATGTACCTTTTATATGTTAAGCTTAACAAAATTATAATTCTCAGTTCACTCTGAATGAATTGTAACACATTCCAAGTGACTAGGAGTCCAAATAGTGAGATCAGTGCAAAATAATAGAATAGATTGTATCTGGAAGAACCAAGAAAAGAAAAGGAATCCAGAAGCATTTGGATCTTATAGAGTTAGATGAAAGAGCTTCTAGAGAAAGTCATAGGACTAAAGAGTTTCTACAACTAAAATGTAAAGTGTCCTTATCCCAGAAGAGGGAGGAAGCATATGTTCTCAGCTTGTATGCATGAAGTCCCACCTCCTTCCACATCCACTCCAGCACTGGGTGAGGTTTAACAACTTTTGCTAAGCATGTATTTCAAGATATAGGCACTGGATGTGTCCTATCTTTCTTGCTCTTTTTTAAAAATTTGGTACAGGGTGCATGTGCTTTCCAACAAGAGAGAATGAAAGAGAGAGAGAGAGAAATGTGAGAAGTCACCTTTCAAGGGTAAGGGTATGGCCATGCCATAATTCCTTTTCCTTCAATCTCCTCTCAGGATTTTGGGCATGTATGTACACACACTTGACGTGGTTTTCCAAGCTACTGGGTCCAGGACTTGAATCACACAGTTGGCCACGTGGGATACAAAGCCTTCACCTACATACTACCTGCTAGCCCCTTATCCTATCTCTGTTTTTTTTTTTTTTTTTTTTTTTGCTATAGCGTATGTGCACTCACTAGAGAGACAGAGAGGGACAGAGAGATAGAAAGGGAGAAATCATCCCCTGGGGGGGATGGCCTTGCCACAATCCCTTCTCCTCTATTCTCCTCTCAGGATTTTGGGCACACACACACACACACACACACACGCACGCACACACACACATGCACCTGGTGTGAGTTTTAAGCCACTGGGCCCAGGACTTGAACCATGGTTGACTACATGGAAGTCCAGTGATGAAACCATTATGCCATCTGCTAGGCCTTATCCAATCTCTTAATCAGTCAAAAATACAAATGTATGATGGAGAGATGGCTCTAAATATTTAACCCCAGAGTTTCACTCACACCAAGTACAGGGAAGCCAGTGAAGTTCAGTTACATGTTTTAATGCCTGAGAATATAAAGAACTAGGACTCTGTAGTGTGAAATGTGTGTCTCTGCCTGACCTTTGAAGCCAGCACACCGAGGGTTATAGGTATCACCACTTATACTGCTCTTCTGTGACAGTTACACACACATGTCTGCCATTCAGAGTTCTGGAGTGTGCGTTGACATCTGTGTGTATGTGAAGATAAATGGGTTCTTGTTTTGATGCAGGAGTTTTTCCGGTATGCTGTCTGAAACCTCATGTTAAAATGTGCCACCTGGAGAGTGGGATCTGGTCCTTGCACTCACTCACTTGTGGATCTGATCAGGGTACCATCTATTTTCAGTCTATACTTGTCTTTTTACTCTGGGAGCAGAAGCTTTAAGCAAAATAAAATGTTGAATCAAAATCAACAACTGCTAAACAAATGGATAATAAGCAACTATTAAAAAAATAAAGTTCTACAATAATTCAAAAAAGCTCCTATAAAATTTTACATTTTAGGGGGAGAAAAAATTGAAATATGAGTAGAAATTTTAGAGATCCTGCAATAAAAAGGAACATGAAGATATTGTAGCTAACTGGTTAGGTACGTGTAGGAAAATTTAACTTGGACAAAGGAGGATTCCAATGAACCAAGTACCTAGATACAGTCTTCTGAACACGCGTACAGGGGGTGCTCTGAACCAGTCTCCTGAACATGCATACAGGGAGTGCTCTTGAACCAGTCTCCTGAACACGCGTACAGGGAGTGCTCAGAATAAGGCAGCGTCACTACCTCAGTGGGAAAGTCACCAACCTGGGCACCCTGAGCGAATCATGGCTGCTACTGTCACTAATTAGCGTGGAAAGTGAGATGATTTGTCTCTCTTAAACTGAACAGTCAATTCTCTTGTTTTTTTATTTATTTTTAGACCAAGGCATTAGGTACTTTCAGTTGCTTTGTAATAGTGTTTGCCAAGTTTTTGCAGAAGCTTCTTGGTGACCAATTTCATTTCATCATAAAGACAAACTTGACGCAGATTTCGTTCATATTAATAATTCAATGAACAGGCGAGGGACTTGAGGTCCACATTTAGCCACAAATTGTTGTGACCTGCCTCCTGACTGACTGCCTAGGGCAGGGCTGGTGTGGGGTTCTGTTAGCCTTTCAGCATTATTGCTCACACCCTGGTCTAGTGGAATAGTGATTTAAATGTATTATGATTGGCTGTTTTGTTTTGTCTTGTTTTTATGAGCCAGATTTCCTGGGTCCAAATTGTGGCTCCAACAGTTTACCTTGTGACCTCAGGCAAACTATGGAACCTCAGCGGCCCATATATGTGATGGCGATAGTAGGGTTATTTTAGGGAGCATATTAAATGATTAAATGTAAAGCACTTGTACTCAATCCCTGTTTGTAGAAAGCACTCAATAATTTTTTTGTTGACATTGTAATTAAGCACTTGCCCTATTTTCCAACAGTCATTTTAGCAAGATCAAATCTATAGGAAAAAGGCTATTGATGATGTTTATACTTTCACTTTTTTTAATATGTGCTTTCAAAAAACTTACATAGATTCATTTATAGTTATAAATTTGAGGACTTGGTCCGTTTTCAGAAATGTTTATCTGAGGATGTGAACTCCATCATTCAAATTAATGTCTATCTCTATTGACTATGATGTTGATTCTTAATACCTCTTAGATGCATGTGTGAAACTGAACCCTATAAAAGCAGAATTTAGGAATTCCTGCCAAAAGGAAGTGAATTGAAAGGAAAAGAAGCAGAGCCTTTGCAAGGAGAAAATTATCCTATCTCTCAGCCAGTGTCAGAATGTAGAAATGTTTACAAAATGCTCATTAAAAGAAAAAGGGATTGCAAGATAGAAACGAAATCTGGTGCGCAAGTTTACACTAGGAAGATAAGAAAGGCTAGGCCCCTATAGGGGATTTTGTTATCCAATTACTGCAACCTGATTTTGGGGGGGAGAGGAAGGGTGGTAAGGGGAGGGAGGAAGAGAGGATGGTTCCAAACTTGTCTCCAGTGACAGGAGACATTTACACTCTGCGAGATAAAACTGCCACTTAGAGCCCAGGAGCACTAAACCTTCCTGGGCTGGCCTGGGGGCCTGAGTGGAGTGATGGGTTCTCCAGCCCTGTGGCTGTGTGCTCTCTTGTGCCTGGTGGTTCACTCAGTCTCTGGCAGTCCCATCATGAGCCTTGAGCAGTCACCTCTGGAAGAAGATATGCCCCTCTTTGACGACGTCTTCTCGGAGCAAGATGGTGTCGACTTTAACATGTTGCTGCAGAGCATGAAGGATGAGTTTCTCAAAACACTGAACCTGTCTGACATCCCCATGCAGGATTCAGCTAAGGTTGACCCACCAGAGTACATGCTGGAACTCTACAACAAATTTGCGACAGACCGCACCTCTATGCCCTCTGCCAACATCATCAGGAGTTTCAAGAATGAAGGTAAATTTACATTTTCTCTTATGAAATTTCGCTATTGTTGCCCCCCCCACCCCCAAGAAGTGATAAATAAATTTACAGTGCACTGGAATGATATAGACAAAGGACAAATGTATCGATGTCAGGGTGTGTGTACACAGATATACAAAAGCAATGCCCATTTGGGCCTATATAATTTATCTGGTCGTTTCAGAACCCAAAAATATACTTACAAACATCTTTTAATCCCAAAGTGCAAAACATCTGTCACTTTGTCATTGTAATTGGAGCTTTTCAAATTTGCATTTGGACAGTAAGTAATATAAAAAGTGAATGCTGGTGTATTGCTATATCTTTGTCATTGTCCAAATGGGCCTCAATTTTCATTTTGACTTTTAATTGATGACATTTGTCAACTTCTACTTAGAATGAAAATGATGAAAACTGTCAAAAAAACAAAAGTTTTTTTTTTTTAACTGTTTTGTTTTAAACTTTGAATGTGTTTCCCTTTTGTGATCTTATTTAAGAAACATTAAAACAGGAGGGAAATCTTGTGTTTTAGAGAGTCTTCCTAACATTATGGTGTGTTTGATGTGTCATGTATATCCCTGAAGCACTGTTGATTATTTGCCGGAAATGTTCGTGGTTCCGTTAATGATCCAGCTTATTATTTCTGTGTCTTTATGAAGAACAATATAAAAGCTTTAATTGTTGGTGGGAAAAGTATGCTTTCTTTCCCAGATCTTTAAATTCAGTAGCTAAATCAAATGAGCTAGCAAGTTAATTCTTTGTTTAAAATGGTGTTAGTAGACAAAAACAAAACAAAACAAACAAACAGCAAAAAACCCACACACAAAAAACAGTTAATTGTTGGTGGGAAAAGTATGCTTTCTTTCCCAGATCTTTAAATTCAGTACTAAATCAAATGAGCTAGCAAGTTAATTCTTTGTTTAAAATGGTGTTAGTAGACAAAAACAAAACAAAACAAACAAATAACAAAAAACCCACACACAAAAAAACAGAACTATCATGGTAAGAGCTGTGGGTCCAAAGAAACTAATTCTTAATATTTACCCATTACACTGTTTATTGTCATTAACCAGGTATAGTTTTGACCTATGTTGGCTAGATGTTCTGAAAAGTTGAAAGGTATTGCTGAAGAAATTGCTCAGGATTTGGAATTTTTGAGATCTGGTTGACTTAGTTGTGAATAATTAGTTTTATTTCTATGATCCTCAATTTTCTTGTCTGTAAAATGAGAGTAATAATCTCTACGTAACACAGTTGAGTGATTCCAAAGAGGTTGTGGGTAAGAATGCACTCCATTTGCTATGAAATGCCAAGTAAACTTTAGTGATTATTAAAGAATTACTTATTATTCTAGGCAGTGGAGTAATGTTGGCTAGGTATTTCTTAGTTCCTAGAATATTATTTGCCTTTAAAATTTAATAGGCCACCAAAATTTCTATTTAGTAATACATTTCTAATGAAAATAGCAAACCAAGGTTACTTTTGGAGGTGAGCTTGAATTGAAAACAACCAAACACAACCTCCTTCTGTGGAAACTGTCGCCGTGCTTCTCAGCACTGAGCTCTAAGTTTCTGGCCCAGGGTGTGAGTAGGAAAATATTGTTTGCACCTCCCAAGAAAAGTAGAAACCTGTTCAGTTGTCACTTCTCCAGTGGAAGATTTGGATGATCCAAGTCAGTTTACTGCACTTGTTATTCCTGAAGATTAGCAAGGGCAGGAGCATATCTGAAAGTGGGCAACCCAGCTGCCTACACCACTGCCAGTCCATGGGTGGAAATGTGTGGTGAAGATCAGGAATTCTTTGCCCTTTTGGCTGCTTTTGTCTCTCTTCTGACCCTTTGGGTCTGCCCAGTGACAAAGACTAAAGAAACTTCAAACTTAACTCATCTGGGGAAAACAAGTGCCACCTCCAAAAGAATGCCCTCAATTCCTGACACTGCCCCTTCCTTCCATTGTTGTCTGGGAAGTCAGTCCTTCAGTTTCTTCTAATGCAAAATGAACAGAGGATCAATACCTGCATTATGGGTCCACTGTAAGAACCAAATATGACCAAGTTTGTAAAGCACCTGGCACATAGAATTTGTCAACCAATATTGGTCCTTTTGCCCTCAAACTTTTCCAGTACTTACTGCACTTGCAGATGTGCAGAGTATCATAGTAAACTTATTTTTTCAAGTCACTTTATTGATGTATAATTGACATAAAGCTGCACATATTTAAAGTGTATAACATGACAGGGTCCGGCAGGTGGCATGGTGGTTAAGGGTGTTGGACTCCCACAAGGCCAACCGCTGTTCAAGTCTTGAACCTGAAGGCTTGGTTTCTCACTTTCCCTCCCTCTCTCTCTCTCACTCTGTCAAATTAAAACAAACAAATAAATAAATAAATAAAGTTAAATAAAATAATTTTTAAAAATTTAAAAATAATAAAGTATATAACATGACAGGTTTTGACATGGTAAACATGCATAGAAATCATCACCACCACTGAGATAGTAAATGAACCCATTACCACTGAAAGTTTCCTCGTTTGCCTTTATCATTGCTTCTTTCCACTACAGGGAGTGGTATTGTATTTTTCTCATAGATGGAGCAACCAGCCTACTTTCCCATTTTGGTCTTCTCATGTTCCCTGTCCAAGTGGAGTCAAGTCTTCTCCATTCTTAAAGTGAGAGGACAAGGCGTGTGCATGTGTGCCCAAAATCCTGTTAAGAGAATGTAGAAGGGGTTGCAGTATGGTCATCCCTTCTTGGGGGTAGGGGAGTTTTTCTTGCTTTTTGTCTCTGTCTCTGGTGAGTGCATGTGCCCTGTAGCAAAAAACCTCTCTTAAAAAAAAGATAAATAAATTTTAAAAAGTAGTAATAAATGTTTTAAAGCACTGCCTTTGTTTAAGTATCATGGTATCATAGAGACATAGAAGGGAATTTGAGCTATAGTAACTGCCACAAGATGATGCCAATCTAGTTGGGAAGATTCATTTATAAAAAGACAATTGAAATGCAAGGCTGTAAATGGCAAGAGTCAAGAGAGAGATATAGAAGTAAGTGATCAAGTGACCCAAAGGAGAGTGGACCTCCAGGTAAAGAGTGTTTCTCTGGGAGGAGTCAGATCTGGATAGGTGAAGGTAAGGTGAGGGGACTTCCCAAAGGTCAGAAGAACATCCAAATATGTGAAATACAGAGAAATGGTGTGTTTTGGCAAGTGGTGAAAATATCAGTTTACTTGAAACAAGAGGAATTACGAATTTATTCAATTGTTCAACAAATATTAATTGAGCAATTGCAATATTTTATGCATTGTGGGAGATGAATGGGAGCTATGGGTTGGTCAAGAGACTAAAGCCTGGTTATACTTGGTCTTGAGAGCCATTCCAGTGGTTTTTATCTTCATCTCATAAGTCAGTATTTCCCCCTGGCAGTGTGCAAGATGATTTTAGGTTGTACCCAAAAGAGGTTGTGATCATGTGAAATAAAATATTTTATTAGTGTGAATTAAAAAACAACAACAACTATATAGCTCACTTTCAACTCTATCTTTCATGAATTCCATTGTTTATGATAAGTCTGAAAGGGGTAGTAAGTATAAAAAAAGAATCAGATCAGTTAAATAAAAACATTAAAAGAGTGTGATCTGGAATAGAAACTCCAGTGAAATCATGATTTTGGTATACAATTGGGGAAACACCACCAAAGATGACAGAGAGTCCCTCAGTTGGAAGTCTTTAGCATCTTTGGTGTCTTAGACTCCTTGGCAATCTGTGTCAAATGCTCTCAGGGATTTCTTGAGACAAGTGTACGGGTACTTTGGGCTTACTGTAAAACTCTCAGATAGGAAATCAACATGGTAATATTTGGGAGTGTCCATCTAAGACTAAATTACTTTGAAGTCCATCTAAGACTAAATTACCTTTAAGCATTCCTCAATGATTTGTTAGTGACAAACTTCATGCCAGGTATGAGGGGTGCAATCAATCTACCCCTAAGATCCATTTTCTCCTCTCTCTCTATATATATAGAAGATAATACACCCAAAAATCCATTGCTGTCACCTTCTTGGTTTAGGACTGTCTTATTGACCTTATCAGGCTTCATGGTCTAGGGTAGAGTCAGCAATTTTTTTTTTCTATGAAGAGCCCAGTCATCTAATATTTTAGGCTTTTCAGGCCATATGTTCTCTGCTGTGACCATCTAACTCTGCCAATGTATGCAAAAGTGGCCATAAATAATATAGAAACAGATAGGTGAGGCTGTGTTCCAATAAAATGTTATTTACCAAAGCAGGTAGCAGGCCCACTTTGGCCTCTGGGCTATAGTTTAGCAACCTCAAGTCTGATTGGAGGTTTTTCTGTAAGACCAGTGCTCACCCAACTATGTGGGGATTTCCACCCATTATGATCACAGATAAGGAAAGTCATGAAGTCCTCATCCCTGAAAACCTTCAAGAAAAGAGCAATTGTCATATCCCATTTAATGCCTTTTCACTGGTTAGAAAATTTATTCATTGGAAATTTATTAATGTAATATCCAAGGTTCCTCCCAATTCTATAATTTTGTGGCTGATAAGCCATTCAAAAAATACTGGGTAAGTTTCCTCCCATCCAATAGCTGGCCATTTTGCATTTTGCTTTTGGCAGCTTAACTCAGTTCAACATTCTACCATTGACCTTTCAATATTTTCTGTGCTACAGAATACTAACTTTATGTTTGTTTTTATTGATCTTCATTCCTCATTTTTTTTTGTCTGTATCAAGCTTCCTGCAAAGGCAAGCCCTCTTATTATATAAATGAGCTTCTGTTTTTCAGTGAGACATACTGCACAGTTGATTTTTGCAATTCCTTTCTTTCAGATCTGTTTTCCCAACCAGTCAGTTTTAATGGACTCCGAAAATACCCTCTCCTCTTCAATGTGTCCATCCCTCACCATGAAGAGGTCATCATGGCTGAACTTAGGCTCTATACACTGGTGCAAAGAGATCGCATGATATACGATGGAGTGGATCGGAAAATTACCATTTTTGAAGTACTAGAGAACAGAGAGGAAAACGAGGGTGAAAGAAACATGCTTGCCTTGGTTTCAGGGGAGATCTATGGAACCAACAGTGAGTGGGAGACTTTTGATGTCACCGATGCCATCAAACGTTGGCAAAAGTCAGGCTCATCCACCCACCAGCTAGAGGTCCACATTGAGAGTAGACATGACGAAGCTGAGGATGCTGGCAGGGGACAACTGGAAATAGACACCAGTGCCCAGAATAAGCACGACCCTTTGCTCGTTGTGTTTTCTGATGACCAAAGCAGTGACAAGGAACGGAAAGAAGAACTGAATGAAATGATTGCCCATGAGCAACTTCCGGAGCTGGACAACCTGGGACTTGATGGGTTTTCCAGTGGACCTGGGGAAGAGGCTTTGCTACAGATGAGGTCCAACATCATCTATGACTCCACTGCCCGAATCAGAAGGAATGCCAAAGGAAACTACTGCAAGAGGACCCCACTCTATATCGACTTCAAGGAGATTGGGTGGGACTCCTGGATCATTGCTCCACCTGGATATGAAGCCTATGAATGCCGTGGTGTCTGCAACTACCCTCTAGCAGAGCATCTCACTCCCACTAAGCATGCAATTATCCAGGCATTAGTTCATCTCAAGAATTCCCAGAAGGCTTCCAAAGCCTGTTGTGTGCCCACAAAGCTAGAGCCCATTTCCATCCTCTATCTAGACAAAGGTGTCGTTACCTACAAGTTTAAATATGAAGGCATGGCTGTCTCTGAATGTGGTTGTAGATAGGAGTCTTGTGCTTATTTAATAACTGTAAATGTGTATATTTCGTGTTCCTATTTAATGAGATTATTTAATAAGGGTGTACAGATAAGAGAGGCTTACTGCCTTAGGAAAATGAACAGGTCAGTTTGTTGGAGAAGATGCATATTTTGTTATATAGTCTTGTCCCTTCCAATCTGTTTGTCTTTGGACTTGCAATTTCCATGTAGAGCCATCTCTCACACCACTGGCAAGTCCACACTACTTATTCCCATGTCAATTTTAAAACAACAACCCAGAAACAAAATATTGTGTCAAAAGACACATATTTGTTTATATATATGTACTTACATGAATTTATTAAAATCTTTTGGTTCTATAGAGGCAGATTAAACTCATATACACACATGACCCACTCAAATATATTAAAGGCCAATTATAATTTTTCATTTATCTACTCTCTGAGTAGAATTTTTTGAAGGTAATTCACTTCAGGAATTTAACAATCTTAGGAAGTCTTACATTTCCTAAATCATCTGGAAATGTAAGTATAGTTGAGTAGAGCTATCACTTGAATTCCCACCATTGTTCAAAGCAGCAAGGCCTGGCAAATAAAGGAGGCCTGAAGTGAGGGGTTATTTGATACAGAAACCAAATGGCTTCAAGAGACAGTGGCTTTATAGGTACAATGACAAAGAATGAATCCAGAGGGACTAGCATGCTCTAGAGGGCAGTGCCCCATTAAGAAAGGCATAGAGAGGGAACTTCAGGTTGAAATCTGTTCCTGAGATGATAGAAAGGAAGCCCAAGCTCATTGTGTTGGTCTTTCTTGCTGCGGAGGGTGGAGGATGTGAGTGGGAGCTCCTAGGGGAGAAGAAGAAAGGATGTAGATGCTATCCTTGGATGTGTTTGTAAAATCATAAACAGTGCTCACTGGAGTCTTAAATCTTTTGGACAAAATAAAATTATCGAAGACCAAGAGGAGGAAAATCAAGAGGGACCTGTTTGTTGGACTCTTCACTTTGTAATATTTTTATTCACTTCATACCCTGTCCTCCTTGCCTCTGTGTCTCTGCTTTTACTCTTTTCTACTTCCTTCCTTCCCTTTTTTCTTTGTCCTCATGCCTCATATCCTTTTCCTATCCCTGTGTTCCCTGTCTTTACTAACCTTTATTACCCACGCTGTGGTCTAAAAGCATTTGCTCTCTGGATGAAGGGAATTAGTATTCTAATTGTTAGGTTCCACCCCCAACCCAATATTTACTGTGATTTGATTTTAATAATATCCTGGGACCAGCAAATGCCATAATGGTTACATTGCTGGACTCCCACATAGTTGACCACAGTTTAAGCTCCAGACTCAATGGTTTAAAACTCACACTTGGCATGTGTGCGTGCATGCCCAAGATCCTGAGAGGAAAATGGAGAAAGGATTGTGGTGTGGCCACCCTCTGCCCCAGGGGCTGATTTCTCACCTTCTGTCTTTCTGTCTGTCTCTGTCTCTCTGGCAATTGCATGCATCCTACAGCAAAAATCTCTCTAAAAAATAATAATATCCTTTATGACATGCTCTGTTTCTAAAGAATACTAAAGTATAAAGAAAAAAATCCACATGAATACATTTAAATAAATTAGTTAATTAATGAACACACAATTGACTCAAAATTTAAGCCTAAATTTTGAAATTGGATTTTTTCCCATGATAGAAGCTCTATAACTTTCTTATTTGTCCTATTTTGTCATCTATCCATTTTAGAACTACCCAGAGGGGCTGGGAGTGTTTCTGACTGAGCAGTTAAAAGTAGGTTGGAAGGACATTGAGACTCCAACTCCAGCCTTAGTGCTCCCAAACAGGCTCATGAGCTCCAAGTTGGATGAATCAGGACAGACCAGGTTCCAAGCCATTCTAACATTTTCAAGCAGGTGACACAAATGGTTCATACTAGAGTTGGGAATGTGGTCTTCAGTACATTTTCCATGCCCTCTCATTTGTTGAATGTTTCCTTAAGAAGTCTGGTACTTTTTTTCCCTGGGAAACTTCCAACCTTTCTTTCACAAAACTCTTGGGGTCATAAACTCATATTGCTCTAGAAAACAGAGGCAAGGAAAGAATTTTTAAAGACCTTTTTCCCAATTTGGACTTTAGCTCTGTACATCTATTGTCCACTGGCATCCAGATGGTAAATCCCTGGGAATTCACTGCTCCTGGAAGAGTGATATTTCAGCCATCAGTTGGTATACAGTGATTGGCAATGGGATGGCCATGCAACTCAGAATCACTCATTTGGGGAATAGCCTCCATTTAAAATGATGTGTGTGATTGAATGGATGTACGTGTGTATCTGTAGCTGGCTTTAAATAGCCATACTTAATGTCCTTGGTGGAATGTGGGTCATCTTTTATACTCTATGGTATACTAAGTATACGCAAATATTCATGGTACTTTTCATTCTTTCTAAAGGACACTGTAATAGAAAACAGTAACACCTCAGCTAAACAAGATGGTTTCTAGTTATGTCTAAAATATGTAAGGCAGTGGTATGCTGGTAAATGCTTTATAACTAGAAATCCAGGGTGAGAAAAAGGCCTGGTATGTGGATTTCAATGGTGTAAACCCCTCCACCATGGCTTGTTCATGCTACCAACGTGATGTCAACTACTTGCAAATACACTAAAAATGTAACAGCTATGTGGTCGCTGGCTCCAGCACCCTGCTGAAATTAGTACACTGATGCTAGAAACTAATGGTATTTCATTCCCTGATTTCCACCCTGCTCACTGCTGGTTTGGCCAGCCTTCTGGAGAAACTTTGTCTCATAATCGCTCTGCTGTTGAAGAGATGTGAAAATCTAAGTTATTGGCTATCAGACTGTATATCCCAGATGTGGTCTAGACATAAACCTGCAATTCTACGATTTCCATATTCCTCATAGAAAAGAAGTGCAGAAAGGCACATATTGGTTATTCAAATGTTACTATTAATCGTTGAATTTGGGGGGGCTTTTTCTCAAAAAGTGAAAAGATAAAAAAGAAGAGGTGCTCTTCCTCTTCCCATCAGCACATTGCAGCTTTCTACATCACTGCAGCCATGAGACTGTCATATATGTCAGAAAGTAGAACTTGATCATGTTTTTTCTTGTCATTGGTCTTCACTACATCCCGTGCCAGTCTGTTTTTTTTTTATACTTAAGCAGAATTATCCTCAATAAATTTGATAAATTCAAACAACTCTCAAGGAGAATTGTAGCAAAGGGACTTGGATAGTTGACAACCAAAATATTCATGTAAAATTGTCTAGGCTTCCTTCTATTTATTGATTGATATATTTATTTTTGTAATATAATGTAGAATACCAAATGTTTTATTTTTATGTTTATAGTTCCTTCTTGGATAGGATTGTCTTCTGTGCTTTTCAAGTAGTAAGTTTCCCCAGAGCATAGCTCACTTACAAGGTATGGCCCGTGTTTTCATCTCTCTCTTTTTGCATCCAAATGTCCTGTTATTTTAAGAAGACTTGCCATAAGCTTGTCATAACTTTGTATATTGTTCTTGTGGAGGCATGCTGTGAGCCCTGTAGGATATTTGCTTGTTTGTAAATAGTACAGTTTTAACTAAAGTGTAGCTGCTCCAGAAACTCTTTAACCAATAAGCTGTTATGTCTTTCTATAAGCTGACATTGTCATTTTATCATGAGAGGCAGATACAGATAGACTGTGAGGCAATGTGACCACTACTCAGCGAATGGAGGTAGTATTTAATTGTATCCTTTTACCCCACCATGTAGGTACTTCCCCTCTGAATATACTCATTGCCTTTACCGGGTCATCAATTCAGAAACTCTATCAGACATGTTCATTTATAATTGGACTGATTACTCTGTAAATGTCCAAGTGTTAGCTTAGTGATTTCCCCATGTGTCACTATCAAATCACTAAATGTTTTCCTGCTGTATAATTTTGAGTGTGGGAAATTAATGATTATAAAAAAAACTGTTACTAAACTATTGTTCATCATTTACACCCTTTAAGTAAGAAATATCTCCATATAAAAGAATTTTACATATTATTTTTTACTAGACTCATCAACATAAAGTCCAACAGTGTTTTGGCAAAACCATTGGCAATTTGACTATAACACAGAAGGCACGTTGCCCTGTTTAAGGACTGTCGACCTTTCCGTGAAGTCACTATGGGTTGTGCTTTGCCCTTTGCAGTTCTGTAAGCTCACGTGTGATGAGAAAAGAAATGCCACTACGAATGTGAATATTATCTGCCCAATTTGATTTCACAGATTAATCAGGAAGAAAGTAGATAACATTGTACAATAGCAGCAAAAGGAGTGTTTCTGAGTGCTGAAATGTGTACGTAAGCTAATAACCCCACCAAAGAATGACCATTAGTTGTGATCAGCATGCTTCCACAGCACACCGGCACTGGTTTTGTGAACACCTGCTCTGATAGCAGTGGGAGGCTGGCGAGCTAGCGCCTGCCCACTAGGCTTCTACAGATACAGGAAATGAGCTGATATTCCAGACACACCGAATCAGCTGAAGCACATTCATCTTCTTGGGGAAAATCTGTTTATCATTTATGTCCAAATTTATATCATAATTACTAGACAAAAATGAAGATGGGGATAAATGTTTTACACTGTTTATAAACCAAATGTGTACATTCAAAGTTATCTTGTTAAAATAAAATGGAAACATTATTTTGGCGATAATGATTTGTAACTTATTTTTCCTTGAGATGAAATCACTTTTGCATCCACTCTATCCTTTTTCTTTACATTATTTCCGCTTCATGGTATGTTCAGATGGAATAAAACTTCCTGCTATATTAGTAGAGAATGGCCTTAAGATACTATAAATTGTTTTAAGCTTCAAAGTGATCTCATTAGAGACTGAGACTCTGTTGTGCTATGGTTCTCCCATCTCATATAACTGTGTAAGTCAGTGTGCCAGAGATATACTGAGTAAATGAAACCGACTCCCCTTTATCAGTAAGTGGGAACTATGTCTTTGAATTCTGAATGAAACAGATTAAGGGCAACTACTTTGGGGAAAATGTTTACGCTAAATTGTACTGATATAAATTATTGAACCTCATAAAATCTCAGACTTAAGAAGAGACTTTAGGGCCAGCCCTTGGCATGGTAGTTAAGGTAGCTGGATCTCACATGACTGACTTCACAGTTTGAGTCCTAGACTCAGTGGTCTGAAAAATACTTTGGGCTCATGTATGTGCGTGTCCAAAATCCCAACGAAAGAGAAGGGATTGTGCTGTGACCATTCCTCATGGGAAGTGCTTTCTCACTTTCCTTCTCTTTGTGTTCTCTGGGGAGTGCACATACTCACATACCCTCTGACAAAACTTAAAGAGAGAGAGAGAGAGAGAGAGAGATTTTTAAAGTTATCTAGTGTGCCCTGTTTCCTAACAGTCTGTCCAAGCACTTTTCATTTACTCTGCAAATATTAGGAGTAAGAAAGGAACTCACTATCTTTTAAAAGGACACCCGTTCTGTTTTTACAGCGTTTTTACAGGGTTCTGACTCAGTTGTACTCAGTTTAACAAACAAATTGGCATTATGCATAGACATCACTGTGGAAGTGACAAAGGTAAGCAGAAAGTTGCTTCATTTTTTTTCTTTGTATGGAAAAGAAGTCTCTCCTGGTGTTCACTATAACATCCCATTTTGTAACTCGTATGCTCCTGCAGTTGCCCATCCTCACAACAGCCCTTCGTTTGCAGATAGCTCTCAGTCCTTGTGAGCCCAGTGTTTCCCATTCCCTGGCCTGGTGTGTGTCTGACACGGGCTTTCTCAGCAGATTGGAAGACCTGCCCTGTGAAGGGCAACAGACCTGGTGGACAGACAGACCCTGTCGCCTCCTCTGAAAGGAAGTTCAACCTTATGGCAGAGTGTGGGATTTGAAGGACAGAGACAGTCCTAAGAAGAGCAAAATTTCTTCTATTAGACAATCATCCTGCATCTCTTCTGAGGCTAATCCTCCAGTGTCGGGGCTGGCGGGCTTTACATGGCCTGTGTGTCAGCAGGGAGCTCAGTCCTTGTCCCTGGATGGGCATAGGTAGATGAGACAGAGCTTAGTCATGAAGGACTGTGGTGTGGGCCAGACCAGAGCTGCACAAAAGCGCCCTGAAAGGCCATCCTTATGGCTTGATTTTGAATTCTTTAGGAACCTATTCATTCTCTTCTGTAAATAACTCCATTTATGGATGTCCCTCACAGTATGGGCCTGGGATTGCATTGGGCATGCCCATGGCTGCAAGTTATTTGTGAGAGTGGAGAGATAGGGGAGTAGAAGGGCTTGGGAGGAAAATGTTGTTTA